TACTGGCTGTAAGGCGTGCAGGGACCAACGTACAGGCTAGGCGTGGAGACTTCAGACAGCAACAGGAGGTGCAGAGGGAGGCCTTCTTGCCTGGGTAGCAGCCACCGACTCACACAATCCTGATGGTGAAGAGACAAGGTCCAGTAACCACCACTCGGTTGAAGAGAGCAACTCTGGCTGTGAAGCGATGAGGTGAGCCAACCTAGCTGAATGGCGAGCAGACTTCACATACAGGCTGAGGCGGTGGAGACTTCAGACAAACGGCAGGAGAGGGCAACACTGACATATAGCGTGTAGACTTACACGTACAACTGGAGCGTGGAGGCTACAGATAGCAACAGGAGTAACAGAGGGGAGGTCTTCCTGCCCTGGGTAGGTCCGCCACGACGCACCAATTCCTGAAAGGTGAAGACGAGGTTTAGTACCACCACTCTGGAGGTAGTCCACACTCAACACGGGGTAATTAGAGAGGCGAGATCGTTTCGTCGATGGGAGCTTGTGTGTCCATGAATGAGTTGGTGTGGGTGAGTACGAACGAGAGCAAAGGCAAGAAAGACTGGGCGTTATATAGGCGTTCAAGTGGATAAGGACGCAGCAGACGAGGGCATAGTCCACTGGTAGGCGGGATTCCCAGTGGGAAGTAGTCCTTCCCAAAGATATGGGTTAGTTGCAGCAGCCGTGAAGAAGGTCTTGTAGATGTCCTCTGGAACCAAGATTCCATGATGTTGCAGGTGTCTGACAAGTATGTGCAAGAAAGGTATAAAATACCGACAATATGAAAGTTAAGACTCATGTGCAACATCTGGAATATCTTTATTGTAACGTTTCCGCCATCCAGTAGGGCTTTAATCAATACAGATTCTAGGACATAATAGGAGACAGTAGAAACTAATACAAAAGATGAGGTAATCAGTCCGCTCAGAGCCTTGGAGTTTAGTGTTTCACACATCGTGGTGGAGGAGATCTGGAGCAAAGGCAAACAAGCAAGCAAGCAAGTGCAGTAAATCCCAAATGGATGAGCGGGGAATGACGGGACAGACGAAGAATAGCGCTGGAGAGGAAGTGTTCTTAGTCGTAGAAATAGAGCCAGGGCTTAACCAGCACTAAGGCGAATCGTGGGACAAGACTGGAGAAAAAACGGGAAGAGAGCCCGCTTGTGTATGCCACAGTCCTCGTGGTAGTGAGGTCTTTGAGTCCTCAAGAGCTGAAGTTTCCAGGTCGCAAGGAGAGGGCAAAAAGCAGGAGACCATCAGAGGGCAGCAGACATGTGGGAGGTTATTTTAGTAGTTGAGGAGGCAGGTTAGCAGTGGAGCCATTTGCAAACTCTTGAAGCTGTTCCTGAGAGGTGGTATAGCGTTGTCTTGTTGGAAAAAGTGAAACGAAGAGGCCTTGATGAACTCAAGAACTTGCTGAGTGTGAAGTGAAGAGGTGATTCGCAGGCATTACTTGACTGTTCCATCACCGAGGCCTTTGTAGAGTTCAGAGCAGGTCATGGTGTCAGCGTTCGAGGGAGAGGTGTAGAAAGTAAGGTTTTCCCAAGAGGGTGTGCTGGAGTCGTCGCTATCTGCTTCGTCGGGGGATTCGTCAGGAAATTCTTGTTCAATTGTTTCTACAGTGATTGTGTCAAGAGGAGGCTTGGAGTTTAGAGTATTTGCGGTCTGGCTGGTTGTTGGTGGTTGTTGAGAGGTGGCAGTGGTCACTGGGGGTGGTTCAGGAGTGTTTTTTTTTTTTGGAGCAGAGTTAGGATTTGGGCCTGAAGTTGATGTGAAGTTAGCGATGTTTGGGATAATCTTGAGGAAGTCCTGTGATGTTGGCGAGTCAGGAAAGTTGAATGACGGCATGTTGTTAAGACGGAATAGTTCGTTAATTGTAGCGTTGACTGTGCTTGGGTTTGCTGCATTTGCAAGGTGCGCATACATCAAGCAGTACAACACCTTAGAGGGAGCAGCGTCAGGGAGTGCAGAAAGGGAATTGCTGGATAGAGATGACTGCTGTGTGGCTTGTAGAATTCTGGTGGTGTCCGACTGGAGTTTTGAAATGGCGGTATATGTCGGCGATTTGGGACTATTCTTCTTGGTTTCTTCTTTAATTTTTTTCGACATTACTTCTTTTCGTAGTGGGCATTTTGCTGCAAGGGTATGATGCGTACCCTTGCAGTTAAGACATGTTGGAGTGGCATTGGTGGTGGTGCAGGCTTTGAAGTCATGACCTTCTTTTCCACAGGTAGAACAGAACTTTTTGTTTTTAATGGGACAGTCCTTTGTTGAATGTTGATATGAGAAAACAGTTCCAACAGGGAGAAAACATGGGCAAAACGTTCAGGTTCAATGTGGCGTGGATATATGTGGTAATATGAGATAGCTAGTCCATTAGAGAGTGCTTGGGTAGCCATATCTATGTTTGAAAATGTGATTTTGATCATAGATGAGGCATTGGGAATTCGTGTGATGGTGTCTACAGAGGCCCAGGTGTTTTGGTCTTCGATAGAGGTCTTCAGTTCATCCGTTGGTATGGATGTGATTATCTTATCCAATTGTTTAACAAAAACTGAACGTTTCGCCAGCAAGGAGGGAGACGGTGATATGATGAATTGTCAGTTTCGTAATGTGTTCATTGCAGTGTCGTCCATAAGTTTAGCTGCTTCATTGTCGTCGGTGCAGACGACAATAAAGGAGTCCTTGAGTGAGTGGATCGCTGTGAATTTGAGATGTAGGCAGGTCCTCATAGCGGCAGCAAGTAATAGTTTAGTGGAATCATTTATAACACCACTGGCTGGTTTGATTTTAACACGATGTGCGAGCATTGTCGAACAGGTAGAGGTTACCCTCCCCAACTGGAATCGTAGGGGAGGCAAGAAGACTGGCGGTTTATATAGGCGTCAGTGGATAAGGACGGGCAGCAGACGAGGGCATAGTCACTGGTAGGCGGGATTCCCAGTGGAAGTAGGTCCTTCCCAAAGAGATGGGTTAGTTGCAGCAGCCGTGAAGAAGGTGTTGCACATGTGTCTTAACTTTCATATTGTCGGTATTTTATACCTTTCTTGCACAATGGAGTTGTAGATGAGTGGAACAAACTCCCGAGTACCGTCATAGAAGCTAAGACCTTGTGTAGTTTTAAAAATAAGTTGGATAAATACATGAATGGGGTGTGGGTGGGTGTGAGTTGGCCCTGACTAGCTTGTGCTACTAGGTCTGGTGCCGTGCTCCTTCCTAAGTGGAAGTGACCTGACTAGGTGGTTATTGTTCTAGGCCGGGGGGGTGGCATGGACTTGCTTTGCACGGGTCAGTAAGCCTGCTGCAGTGTTCCTTCTTTCTTATGTTCTTATGTTCTTAGTGGTAATTAAGGCAGCTTCCATGCACTTTCGCCTTTCTTGGTCGTTTTCGCGGATGGTTGACAGGGTCTTATTCCATTTCTTCAGGTGTAGAACACAGGCATTGTTGCCGTCAGCCTTATCCGTACCACTTAGATGCTACTCTTTAATAAGTGACGCTTCGTTTCTGATTGAGACACGGCACTGACGCATTAAAATGTGAAATTGTCTCCTCGTTATAATACTGTTACTTGGGGATCCCCTAGCCTAACCGCTCAATTATTTTCTTTTACCGCTGCACGATCACATACATGGTTTAAAAAAATCTCCAGGGACAACAACAGGGACAGGTTAGTGAGGGCGTCACTCTGTTCATGATGAAAATATGCTTTTACAAATTTGCATAATAATAATACAAAAACAGTTGTGTGATTATACATTCCCTTAATAATTGCTTCGTAGCCTGATTATCATATTGCTTACACATTGTTTGAAGTTAGGTTTCAGGGTAATGCCTAATTATATATGACTCGCTTGTGTGAGTCACACATGATGAATCAGGATTTTAAAGAATGACTCAGGTTACAGAAGAAACGTTCGTTGGGACAACGTTTCGCTCTGTGCACAGCTTTATTATGCTTTATGAAAAGCTTTATGTAAATGGATAAATATGCAAATTTTACGATGCTTTATTGCAAGCTGCAATGAAATATCCTACTAGAGATTATCGCTATTTTCTCACCTTTCATACTCACTGAGCTTTATCAAGCTCTGCACAGAGATCAACATTGTCACAATAAAAAGCTTGCTCTTCGACATGTATTTTTGTTTTCATACTTGTTGACATTCAGATAGGATACTGTAGCCTAATACACCCTCACTATCTGCCCGGGGGGACACTGTCCGTCATCAGCCACTTAGGTTTAGCTTCCACATTCATGTTTTTTTTTTCGTATCAGGGTTAAAGATATAATTTCTTCTGGTGCCTCGTTTATGAGGCATTTATTGCAGTATTATACTTCTATTAAGTTAGCCTTTCATTCATATTAACACGGGATGATCACATCTCTAAATCAGCCTTTTATTATGAAAATAAATGGAAAGTGACAAACCAGTTCGGCAGAAAATTTAAACAAAAGTAAACAACAACAACAACAACAAAAATACTCGTAATTCGGCTTTCGTCAGAGACCACCTTCCTCAGTAGATGGTTTCTGACCATCTTTTGTTTCATATTTCTGCCAAAGTTTATTTTTGTCACTTTCCATCGATCAGTGTTTCATCCAGTCAAGCTGGAAATTTTTCTTATAGAAAGGCAAATTATATCATTTTCCCTAGTGATCACATTCTTGAATTTGCAAACTAGGTAGAGAGAGAGAGAGTGAGCAAGTGTTAGGTTGAGTGCAGGAAACAGTTGTTCCCAGCGTCTGCTGTGTTCTACAATCCCAGCTACCCATCATATTCCTTCCTTATATTATCAGCTACTAAGCACCAGTTTTTTTCACTGAGAATGTATAAATGGCATATAGCTTTTTTAGTGTTCGTTTACGAGAATGAGACGTGAGAGTTTCTAGTTGTTACTACCCGTAACTGTAGATTTAGTAATGCTGCTATTCTCTGATTTTCAAGTTATAATTAGATTTGTACTCACGGAGAGGACAGGTCATTTATCCAGCAGGTGTAAACTTGT